AAGGGATGACAAAGAAGGTACAGCAAAACTTTAAAGTTTGCCAGTTTAACAATTGCAGTCGATTTTGGTAAGACATTTGTTGTCGTTGTTTTTAGAATAAGACGGGTATGGGAGAGTGGAGGATAGCGTGGGATAGTGGAGGTTCATGAGCACTTGTCAGGATTGGCTGAGTAAGATCTGCAATAAGAGGAGGGTTGAGTACATTGACCCTTTTCTTGACCCTTCGTGGAACGCTATAGATACAACTATACCAGCTGATATACAACTTCTCCTCCAATCAATTTATCCATAAATCATTATCATTATCATGCCAAATCAAACAAAACAATTACTCTTGTGCTATTTATTTTAAATACAATTTGCAAGAATTAGAAGCCTACAATATAACTGTCTTGATGATAGTTCCTTCAGCGATAAAGCCCCCATTATAACAAACTAGTTCTCACTACGTTTTGGGACCGTCCCAGAAACTCGTAAAACGGAATTTGGTCGGAGCAGAATTTGTTAAAAATGTCTAAAATACGACCCTAGTTCGTTCATAAACAGTCCCCAATACGTCCATCTCGTCTGTACGTACCCATCCACAATCAGGTCATATCATGTTCTCCCCCCTTTGGATTTTTTTTTTTTTTTTTTTTTTTTTTAAATTATTAAAAAAAAAAAAAAAAAAAAAAAAATTACCCCCACGACTGACCTAAGAAAGGTGACCTTACCCCCCCCCCAAAGGAACAAAATGTCAAATTTTCAAATTTCGAGACCAAAAAAAAAAAAAAAGTGTCCGCTTACCCCCCCCCCCCCCCCCCCCCCCCCCCCCCCCCCCTGAGCGACTTTTCGGCTGGCTGAGTCGTTGCGATTTTTTTTGGACTACCAAAAAAAAAAAAAAAAGTGTCCGCTTAGCCCCCCCCCCCCCCCCACTGAGCGACTTTTTGGCCGGCGCGATTTTCAAATTTTCCTGAGTCGTTGCGAAATTTTGGACCCGATTTTAAACCCCCCCCCCCCCCCCCCCTTGAAAAAATCCTGCGTACGCCACTGAACAGCTACATATTATCCCATTGGCATACCGAGAGGGGGCTATATATTCAGGAGGTACAGGCATCAAGGGGAAGCGGTGACATTCGTTTTTATAAAACAAATAATAACAAGAAAATAAATAAAGGGGGATTAGGGTTGTCTGGAAGGGGTACAGTCGTGTTCCCTCTTTCCACTTTTTTTTCCTTTCCCTCTATCTTCCTCTTTTGTGTTTTTTTTTAATCGATGGTCGAGTAGATATGTGATTTAAAGATTTGCGAAAAAAAAATCCTCCCGTGATATCTTATTCGATATCGCATGCCGATGTACTTGTATTTTCCTTATATGTTGATTTGGCAGACTGTGGCATATGATCTCGTACACAAACGGTCGTGCATTCTGCCACCGGGAATTATCACCACACACATCTCGCCATTGCGTTGCTGTGGTTGATCAGTATCCCAATCTATAAGAGAATATACATTCAGTGTGTTAAATAGAGATGTGTTAAGAGAGAAGTGAGTTGGTCTAGCGGCACGTACATTTGGTCAGCTCGTTGTCATCACCTTCAAACTGACCCAGAAGACCCCAGTTTGTTAATCAGTCACATCTTTCGGATGCTGTCTTTGGAGGTCGGTCCCCATATGTTAATAATCAAATCTGATTGATACACGTTAGGGTAACAAAAACAATTACACACATACACACACACACACACACACTCACGGTGTTAAAAAGAGGTGTCGGAATCAAATGGATAAGTCACCAGACTGTATATCACATGGTACGGGGTTTAAATCCCAGTCCGGCCCAGTCCCTTGACAAGACGTTAATCTACATTTCTGCCACTGTTCTGCTATTGAGCCGTCACGCCTCCTCGTATGCATATAAATATACATTTTTTCCTTAGCAGTCACGTAAAAAACAAACCATCTTCAAACCAACAATTTTTAACTTACTTCGGTAGTCACTTGTGGTCCCTTCTCGGTCCGTGTAGCACTTCCATGTCGTCCCGACAAAATTGCAGTTCATCCAGACCCAGTCTGCGTTCAGGTGAGGCTGCACCAAAGAGTACTCTTCCATATTCTCTATGAAGAGCAGGGAAGGCTCAACCATTTCTCCGTTGCCCATGGTAACTGCATCCAGACCATAACAGAGGGCACGAGCAGTTGTCCAATCAACGTTTAAGTGTTGGTTCACGATCAGGAAACACTTTGTGTGCCCATACACCCAACCGACTGGACAGGCTTGGATTGTAAAGTAGTAAAGTACGACATCATTAAAAATCAAAATAGTTGGATCATAGAATGCTGGGTATTTGTATTCTTTATGCATTTTTGTTTATTTATTACATTCTAGTTGTGCCCAAAATATTTCTTGGGTACACACATTCGGAACAATGAGATGATGACCGTATACTTTTTTCTATTAATAAAGCATACTTTTGATATTCGGTTTCCGTTTTTTTTTAGCTGTATATCTATATATGTTGGTAATGAGATTTAAAACGTAATTTTAGTCACTATAATGAATATTTTTTTCTTTCTCGGTCAGCCCTACTTAGGAAACGTTTTCTTTTTATTTTGGTCGATTTCTAGTAAAGATGAAAAATGTATTCTTTAGCTTGCTGATTGCAAGGTCGGTTTCAGATCGAAAGACATGATCTTAGAAATATCCACTCCAGATTGGCCATTACAAATCCTCTTTTTCTAGGCAATCTGTAATGATTGCCTACACTTCTATGCCATATGTGTGTGTAGTCCCATATACACATTTCTGTCATGTCTGCGCGCAGTGGATGCTATTTTTTAGCAAGACTGCATGCAATAGCCAAATCTTGTAATCATTTATGACTAAAAAACCTCACAATATACAACATTCTTTTTGCGCTATATAATAGACATTTCCAGTTCATTTCATAGGCTCTAAATATCAATACTAGCATGTAACGTCAAATGGCACCGTTAACATGATCGTACTTACTTTTGAAAAAACACTTTCAATGGCCCTTTCCATCATCTATTGAAGTGCGCGAATAAAATACGACCACGTCTTGTGTAATCAGAATATGACCTCCATGTGACATGTAATAAGGGCATTGTAATTACCTAGGACCCCCGTAGTATAAAGAGTTGATATTCATCGCAAATAATTTGCGATTGATATCAATCGCAAGTATGTACATAAGAGGTAGGAGACTGCAAACTTGCGATTTATCCAAATTGCGATTGATTTGGATCAATCGCAACTCTTTGTGAGACGGGGCTTTTGAGTAGATTCCTAGGAAGTCTGGGCGATCGTGTTCACGTTAATTGTAATCTAAGATTAAGCATGATAAAAGGGACTACAGCCAGTGAGAGAGGCCAAACTATTTTTTGAACTCTCTAGTCCTCCTAGCGGCACACGAGGCCGGAACACAGTGCGAAACCAATGATCGTATCATCAAAAAGAATACCAATTTTATATCCACATACACGCACACACAGGTATACATAAACTGAAAATGCATACGCAATATTGACATGTTGGGATGCTCTTCCGAGGTTAGAGACCATGCCAAACAAAGAGCTTTTCAAAAAACTTACCATCATTCTGCTCGCAATGTATTCCGATAAATCCTCCGAGGCAGGAACAGCTAAACCCATCAAGCTTCTCAACGCAGGTCGCTCCGTTAAGACAAGGATGGGAGTAACACGCTTTAAGAAACATAAATCATGTGTTCAAAGTCAAACAGTACAATATTCACGGTTGCCCATAATGTTTGGATACTTACCTCTTTTATTGAAATGGCTGTGTGAATATGTTTCGTTCTAGATAGATACGTTTATATCTTCTCAGCACTTTAAATGACCAATATCTTTGACTCTTTGGATTGATAAATGAAGTTCTGGACATTTACAACCTTAAACAAGTAAACAAAATAAATTATATTCTCACAATCTATTCTCACAATCATTCCATGAAAAGAGGTTATAAAATAAACGTCCGGCTTAACGGACAACAATGCAAATATAGTGTTTACTCGTGCATCTAAACTGTACAACAATAACCCCCAACACGTGAACAAAAATCTAACAAATTGTTTTACATCCGAAATCATTGTTTACTAAGCTCTAGACAGAGAGAGAGAGAGAGAGAGATAGAGAGAGAGAGAGGGGGATGGGTAAAGAGGGATTATATAAAAGCTAGGATAGGGGGAGAGATGGAGGGAGAGAGAGAGAGAGAGAGAGAGAAGGAGGGTGGATATAATGAATAGTTTATCGTACCTGGATGTGCGCAGTATAGGTTTATTTTGTCCCTCGCTTCTTCTGGCGTTATGGCGTCATATTCAGGGTGATCACGTGTTAAATACTTGGGAACAAACTTGACCGATTCCCCAGTATATTCGGAGATACCATAAGGACAGATGTCCAGGGGTATTTCAGGGCAAATATCGTCACCTAAAGCGCCTGTTTATTTAGCGTAAGACAAAAAGGAAGCAAGAACAATGAGAAGAAAAAAGAAGAAAGAAAAAGAAGACAAGAAAAGAATTAGAAGTAGTAGAAGAAGAAGAAGAAGAAGAAGAATTAAGAAGGACAAAATTACGACGAATAATAATAAGTATTTGTACTGCTCACTTTCTGATATTGTACCACGCAATGCGCTACAATGTATTTTAATACTAATACTGAAACAAAATGCAAAAAAAAAAATAGTATTGGATATCTAACATTAGTTTTTCTAAGGAGCTCTGGGTGAAAAAGAAAGAAGGAGAAGAAACGAAGAAGAAGAAAATATGTTAATTTTTGAGTAGATTATAACGCTAACGTAAGTCCCATTTTTGGCCTATTGTTACGCGAATGACCCTATGTACAATTTGTAATAAAACGAAGAATTGAAACATTTATATTTTTCAGTATTATTGTTATCATTATCGATATTATTACTATCGGACTTGTTATTATCATTGACTTTAATATTATTATCATCATCAATTTAAATAGTTGTAGTTGAATAGTTGAGGAAAGGGAAAAATGAAGTTTGGGAGTCCAGCCGTAAATGGAGATATTAAGCTGTGAAGCTTATTTATTCGATCTGTAAAGACAGATAAAATAACAAAGACAGATTTAGTATATCATTCATGTTACACAAGAATGCAATATATAATCCAAATTATCTGAACAAACCAAGTAACTGTATCTATAAAGATTCATTTAAACACATTTGCTTTTGTTCTATAAACTGTCAATCTTGACCTCGTCCTTTAACTAACAAAAATCCAGAGTAACCAATGGTTACAAAACCTTATGCATTTTCTAATATGCATTACTTTCAAATACTCATACTTTCAGAGTTTCTAAAACCGACCCGGCAGACTTCCCTTTAAACAGATCACTGCCAATTTGCATGAACCAAAATAACTGTAAACATCTTTATCTTGCATCCATACACAAGCTTGATAATTCTCATCTATCTTCATAGTTTAAATTCCTTCTAAAAACCTCAACAATAGATTGTCACTTTAAATGTGCTATATGACCTTCGACTGACTTTGACAGGCACCTAATTTGCATATTTATGCTCGCCTAAGAAAAACTGTCTTATAAAATGACTTCATACAATTTAACCCTGTTTGATGAATTAAACTTAAATATCTGACATGCATAAAACTTCCCAGTAATAATCTAGAGATTACACTTCAATACAAAATAAACTATCTGGCATAACTTGTAATTTACACCTGTAATTTACATCTGTAATCTACTCCTGTAATCCACACATGCACTACAGCAAGCCTTTCAAGTTACATTATTAACTCTTAAAATGATTAAACACTGTCTTTCAATTCTGACTCTAAATACATGCCAGAGGTGCAAATTTTAACCTTTCACCAAGTTAATAAATAGTGTCTTGCAACTTTTATGCAAGCTAAATCAAATTCCACAGACCAACTTTTGTCACCCAAACAAACTGCATAAAATCCAAGGTTCTATCATGCACAATTTTAAACATCCTTTATATTCAGGACTTCTATAAATATACATTGTTTACTTTATAAATGACATAATGCAATATCTGCCTAATACTGTAATTCTATTTTGACAATTATTATTTAACCTGAAAAACACATGACTAAAAGTACGTCTCATGGGCGCGGCCATTTTAGGCGCAGCCATCTTGGAATTAATGCCACACGTGCATTATGCTAATGAGTTAAATACAGTTTTTTAGAATCTATTTTACAGTTCAACTTGAAACTATCTTATTTTCCGTTTTATCAGTTCACATTCCAGTTTATATTAATCTAAACACTCACTTCTGTGGCGGGACAAAACTTCGTCGGGAATACTTGAATGGCAACTGACGGATTAACTGGTAAATGAGTCAAACTGGACTACATTTCTGACTGTGCACTGCGTTGACTGAAGAACATGGCGACAGTGCCGAACTTAACCTATGGTAGCTTATAAGAGCAAAAAAGAGAAAATCTAAACCAAGCAAAAATCATCGCTCGGCGAAACATCCTCCCCACCCAATGAGGGAACTTTCCTCATGAAAAACATTAACATTAAATTAACACTTGCTATATTACTGTTCGTAGCCTTCAACTGGGTATACTGAATACACTTCCACAACGCGAGCGATGGTCCATTTTCCACGTAACGCGTTGGCGTCAGCCATCAAAAACGATATCGTCGACACAAAAAATTGCGACGATCAATGTTCCACTTCCATCTTGGCGTCAATAACGGGAGCACGTCTCTTCTCAAACGCTGCCAGAAGGCGTCTGCAATCCGTTGGATGAGCTCTACTCGATGCCTTGGGTTCTTGGTTTCTCGGAACGGCTCTTGTGCGACATCACTGGATGCACATCCTAACAGCATGTCATTAGGACTCAGGTAGCTCCCATCATCAGGATCAGTCGGGATTCTGCCAATCGGCGGTTGATTGTCTGGATTGGCCACCTCTATCAGGCATGTATACAGATCAAACGGTGTCAGGATTTGCTCTCCAATGGCTCTCTTGAGAGCAGACTTGCAACTCTTCACCAATGACTCGGCGCAGCCGTTGTGATGCGGGGCTATGAACGTCCATTTCGTTCCCTTTACAGTACAGAACTCCTTTAGCACACGTTGAGCACCTACAAACTGAGTACTGTTATCACTCCAAATCTGTGATTGCTTCCCTCTCAAAGCAAAGATTTGACGAAGTACTTGAACAAACTTCATCGCGGTACATTCAGTTGCAAACTCTAAATGCAGACATGTGAACAAAACTGGTGGTGTATGTGGGGCTAGTCTTTCTCTGGGTAACTCGGTCATTTCATGTGGTTCTGCCTTCTGGTCAAATGCTCCACACACTGCACATTTGAACTTTACAGTCTTTACTAGTCTTTGTCCCTTCAGAATCCGGTACCTCCTTCTAGCCTTTGCTGTACTGGTTGCAACTCTAGTATGACCACTCTTGTGCGCATGTCGTGTGGTCAAGGTAGATATCTCGTGTTCGAAAGGAAGCAGGTCTGGGTGTTCCCTTTCAAACGACATCTCAGCTCTATCTACTCTGTCTCCTACTCGGATGATGCCCGTACCGTCTGTGTGAGCACTAAGGGCTTTCAGTTCTCCCATATCATCTCTGCCTTTGAGTGACTTCTTGGCACTCTGGATCAATACTGCTTCTCCTTTCTCTAACTCATCAGGTGTCAAAGTGCCAATGTTGTCATGATCACCAACATCAATTTCCTTCCTGCACTTCAATCTCAGCTTTCTTACGAACTTCAGCACATATAATGTCACTCCGATCAACTTTCTCCAGCTGAAGAACCTCTTGCAGTCAATGACGTCCTCTTTGTTGGTTACTATCAAGACTGATTGTTCTTCTTTACCTCTTTCTGATTCAACTTCAGGCACCTTTCCCTCTAGCTTTGGTTCTTCTGGCCACTCTGACTTTGGTTGGCACAGAAAATCAGGTCCGTGCTGCCATCTGCCGTCAAACTCATCTTCACTCAAATCTTGGGTGAGATCATCTGCAACATTCACGTCTGCTTCTTGCCTGCTGATACCACTAGGATGGCCCTGCACTGGATCATGACAAACTTCAATTGGTTCTGTCGTCCAGAAATCATTGAAGTCCACTGAGTTGGCAAGCATAACATTCATAACTATACTCTTGGTTGGCTGTTGCTTTGAGGTAGCTCCAAACACTACCCATCCTAAAGGTGAATGCCTTGCCAACATATTCCCTCTCTCTCTGGTTTCTCCTTTATGAAGCTTAGCATGATCGGTTCCTACTAACACATCGATGGATCCAAAACCACGGTGTAAAAGATCCTTCTTCAGGTGGAATGTCCTTGCAAGCTCATCAACCCGAACTTCTGCTACATTATCGTTGATGCACTCCAACCCAAGTGCCGACACTCCGTAAGCCTGCTTGCCTTCAAGTGACTGTAGTCTCATCCTATACAGTTTCGTCTTCACTGCTTCAACACGGCCTCCGACTTTCGTGATGTTGATCGTGATCGGTTTCCCAACCAAACCCATGTCGTCTGCCATCGACTGCTTCACAAGACTGATCTGGGATCCTGAGTCTATTAGACAGTTAGCTGTTGAACTCTTTTGATCTGGACCCAGCACTTTCACCGTAACCACTGGCAGTAGGGCGGAATTTCCAGCTACACTGGCTACTATCTCAGTTCTGGTTTCAACTACCCTGTGCAGCAGAGGATGATGAAATGAAGAGCACTGCTCCCCATTTATCTATTTAGAGCACCTCTTCCTTCTCTTGCAGGTTCTCATGTTGTGCTCTCTGCCTGCCTTCTTGAGACAACTAAAACATGCATGATTGTCTCTCATTAACTGAAACCTCTCTGTCTGACTCTTGGAGAGGACCTTCTGGCAATGTTCAACCCAATGATCAGAAGATTCGCAGCTCCAGCATCTGTACTGGGTAAATTGGGTATTCTCACTGTTCTGTTTGTTGTCAGCACTTACATGGTGGACTGCATTCTTCTGTCTGCTGCTACTAGTTGCACTTCTAAGCGGTGCAGTGGCCCGCATACGTGTCATCATCTCCGTCTCCATCCAGTCCAGTAAGTGCTGCAAACTGACATCCTTGTCAGCACTTTCTACATGTCTGAACCACACCTTCCGGTCTTCGAGGGTCATCTTGCGCTCTATCAGAGCCAACGTTTGGCTGTTGTCAATGTCTTGTGGACAGCCAACTTCCTTCAGTGTATTGAAGCTTCGCCTCAACAGGTGCACCAGATCGCAAAATCTGGAGTCCTCTCCGTCCCTCAAATCCCTAAAAGAATTCACATCGTAGATTATGGCATCTGCTATAAATCGCCGGTCACCGAAAACAGAGTTCAGGTATGCCCAAGCAGCATCATAATCGTTGCCTACCCCTCTTATCATGTCCAAGGGCTTTCCCTGAAGGCAGGTACGCAGTATGGTGACAGCATCTCTCTTGCTATATCGAGTATCGATGAGATGATGAAAGTCCGATCGAAACGTAGCAAACTCTCTCACGTCACCGCTGAACTTTGGAAGTTTTGGGCGTTCCATCTGTACTTTGCAGGAGGTGACAACACGGGAGTCAACCTCTGCCTCTCTGCTCACAGTCTCATTCTCTTGCCCTGCTGTCTCTGCGGCTGCAGACGATGCAGCAGTAGCTTGGCTTGGACCATCACTCCCATCCGGTACAGTTACAATTGCCTTTGACTTGGCATGGTCCCTTATTCTCATCTGCATATCAATGAATGTAGACTGGCAGCTTTCCAACCAGGCTTCCTCTTTAGTGAATTCATCATCATCATCAATGGTCGCACAGAAGGCCTCGTGCCTTTTCTCTAAATCTATAAATGTAACTTGCAAACCTTGGAAAGCTTCGTCGACCTCCTCAAGGTCCCTGTCATGGTCCAACAAATGCTGCAAGGCGTTGGACATCCGGGTTAGCTTAGCCTTTGCGGTTCTCCTCTTGATCTTGAGGTCCTTTACATCTTGTTCAGTTGTCATCTTGGTTAACTTAATCCCTTCGTCTCCTATTCCAGGTCAGCGTAGAAATCGAATGCAATGAATAGTTGAGGAAAGGGAAAAATGAAGTTTGGGAGTCCAGCCGTAAATGGAGATATTAAGCTGTGAAGCTTATTTATTCGATCTGTAAAGACAGATAAAATAACAAAGACAGATTTAGTATATCATTCATGTTACACAAGAATGCAATATATAATCCAAATTATCTGAACAAACCAAGTAACTGTATCTATAAAGATTCATTTAAACACATTTGCTTTTGTTCTATAAACTGTCAATCTTGACCTCGTCCTTTAACTAACAAAAATCCAGAGTAACCAATGGTTACAAAACCTTATGCATTTTCTAATATGCATTACTTTCAAATACTCATACTTTCAGAGTTTCTAAAACCGACCCGGCAGACTTCCCTTTAAACAGATCACTGCCAATTTGCATGAACCAAAATAACTGTAAACATCTTTATCTTGCATCCATACACAAGCTTGATAATTCTCATCTATCTTCATAGTTTAAATTCCTTCTAAAAACCTCAACAATAGATTGTCACTTTAAATGTGCTATATGACCTTCGACTGACTTTGACAGGCACCTAATTTGCATATTTATGCTCGCCTAAGAAAAACTGTCTTATAAAATGACTTCATACAATTTAACCCTGTTTGATGAATTAAACTTAAATATCTGACATGCATAAAACTTCCCAGTAATAATCTAGAGATTACACTTCAATACAAAATAAACTATCTGGCATAACTTGTAATTTACACCTGTAATTTACATCTGTAATCTACTCCTGTAATCCACACATGCACTACAGCAAGCCTTTCAAGTTACATTATTAACTCTTAAAATGATTAAACACTGTCTTTCAATTCTGACTCTAAATACATGCCAGAGGTGCAAATTTTAACCTTTCACCAAGTTAATAAATAGTGTCTTGCAACTTTTATGCAAGCTAAATCAAATTCCACAGACCAACTTTTGTCACCCAAACAAACTGCATAAAATCCAAGGTTCTATCATGCACAATTTTAAACATCCTTTATATTCAGGACTTCTATAAATATACATTGTTTACTTTATAAATGACATAATGCAATATCTGCCTAATACTGTAATTCTATTTTGACAATTATTATTTAACCTGAAAAACACATGACTAAAAGTACGTCTCATGGGCGCGGCCATTTTAGGCGCAGCCATCTTGGAATTAATGCCACACGTGCATTATGCTAATGAGTTAAATACAGTTTTTTAGAATCTATTTTACAGTTCAACTTGAAACTATCTTATTTTCCGTTTTATCAGTTCACATTCCAGTTTATATTAATCTAAACACTCACTTCTGTGGCGGGACAAAACTTCGTCGGGAATACTTGAATGGCAACTGACGGATTAACTGGTAAATGAGTCAAACTGGACTACATTTCTGACTGTGCACTGCGTTGACTGAAGAACATGGCGACAGTGCCGAACTTAACCTATGGTAGCTTATAAGAGCAAAAAAGAGAAAATCTAAACCAAGCAAAAATCATCGCTCGGCGAAACAGTAGTAGTAGTAATAATCATAGTTTTTGGTATCATTATTGTAATCACAATCATCACTTTTAAATCATCCTTCGTATTCTATTACATAGGGTAAATTTAATGCAAGCATCAATTTAATAAAGTGGTTTTCATCAAGATAATAATGGGCATATTGACTGTCATCATTCAAGAAGTACAGAGTTTTGTAGAATGGTGTGATCAATCGAATCTAGTCTTCAATGTACAAAAGACAAAGGAAATGTGCGCTTAGAAACATCTGTATAAAGCGCCCTATGAATGTAATTATTATTATTATTATAAATAATTTTTTATTTTCGTCGCTTTTCACATTCTCATGAGCCTATTACTATCCATGGACATCCCATAGAACAGGTCCCAGAATACAAATATCTAGGGACAATCATCGACAACAAACTGAATTGGAATTCAAATTCACAAGTTCTCGCAGGAAAGGCTAATCAACGGTCGTATTTCCTAAGGAAATTAAGGGAATTCCGAGTTTACAATACCATCCTGGTACTATTCTACCAAAGTTTTTTACAAAGTATCCTTACTTTCAGCCTCGTGTGCATGTATGGGAACCTGTCAAATGAGAATGTGAAGAAGCTTGATAGAGCTAGGAAAGTCGCTCAGCGAATTACTCACACAGAGTTGCCCACAATTGGTGCTTTGTATGAAAAGAAGATTCTACTAAAGATTCATAAAATAATGCAAGATTCATCCCATCCTCTACATGGCTTTTTAAGTTCAACAGATCGGGTATTTGTCTAACAGTGCCTAAAACAATACGATGTAGATTCAGACAATCTTTTGTTCCAAATGCGATACACATTTTCAACAATTCTGTAAAACGATGATGTTCTAATTGAGTGTATGTAATGTGTGGATGGTTTGGGTACATGCATGGAGCCAGGTCATATTCTTTTCTCCTTTTCTGTCCTCTCTCACTTCACCTGAAGCATTGTTTTGGGTGTGCACCTAGTCATTCTACCACTTTATTTTCTTCTCATTTATTTCCTTATCTACCTCCTTTCCCCTATCTCTTCTGTATACATGTCCCTGACTTCACGCATGCCTGCACACACACATGCATACATGTAAATTGGTACGTTATGCTCTGATCACAACTATAGTTTTTTGCATATCTTGTCATTGTAAAGCAGAGTCATTTTTATGATAACCATTTTTCGAACAGTTTAAGTCTTTTGCCATGCTTTTTTAATCAATTTTTTAATCAGTGTCAATATTTCAAATGTTAGTATCAACTCTTATCCTGCCACCAGGTTAATCCCTGTAGTGCCAAGCCCAAAATCCCTGCAGTGCCAAGTTTATAACGAGATAATCGGATTAACGCGATGGTACTTTCAATAGCGCGTGCAAAACACTAGGCACAGTCCAATGGGCATGAACACTAACTGCTATTACATATGCGTGCAATCATGCAAGAAGCAGAGGAGCAATAGCTTGCTAGCGTGTACATGGCACCTTAACAATAGCGTACATGCAGCCCAATGGCAGGCCATGAGTTAAGTGCAATAATGTAACCTGTAACAGTAAATGTCTTTCAACTCAACAAATCTGTATATTTGAGAAGAACTGTCTTTCACTTTGTCCAGAATGATGCGAAACAGTAATCTTTTAATCTTTTAATGGATGAACAACGTATCTTGAGTGCATGCATGAATGTCAGTTGCTATGTTCTTTCTCCCTCCCTCTCCTTTCACTTGAAGCTTTGTTTTAGGTGTGCATCTCTCCCTTTTCTACCACTTTTTCGTATTTCTCCCCTCTCTTCTACACTGTATCTCTTTGTATACATTTACCAGACTTCATGCATGCCCTCTTACATGTTTTTAGTATGTTATGGCCACTGTCCCATGACACATGTATATGTATATGTAATGTGAAATGGCTAAGGCTAGGCTCCTTACTGGACACTTTTTGTATTCTAACTTTCTACTGCACAGGGTCTATCTCTTGCTTGCAGCTCTGAATTTCGAATTTCGAATGTTGACGACTCATTTTTCTTTTTTTACCACGGGTAGTCACTGTTCTTGATATACTGTACTCTAACTCTACCTCTACCTCATCTCTTCCCTCCAAGAGCTCCTCGTTTTCTGTCACCTTCTCTTTCTCCCTCCTTCTCTTTCTATCTCACATTTCCTATCTGTTCTACTCCATGCGACTCCCCTCTCTCTCTCTCTCTCTCTATTTCATTTGTTCTTTTCTCTGTTCTTTCCTCATACCCCTTTTCTGGGAGAGAAGGGGTGAATGTCTCAGAGCACTTTTTAATTCATTTATTCTATGCATTCTGTGCATTATCGAGATTCATTTTTAAATGCCAGTTTTCAAGTTAACATGTCAGTTTTGTTAATACTATCATTGCTGGTATTATTATTGTTATTATCATTATTATTGTTGTATTTCTTTGTATCCTCGAATGTATTTAAATATTGTTTATGTTGTTTGTATATGTACGTCACTTGCCAGTGGAGGACGAATTTCTGTATTTTTTAAATCAGACAGTAAATTATCTTGAATCTTGAATCTTGAATCTTGAATCACATCCAAAAATAATTAAGAGAATGAAAACTAAAAGAAAAAAAGGTAATTAATCCACAAACCAATTCCTAATGAATCAGGATGAACAAATACGATGCTTTCACTTGTTTGATGAAAATCAGTGAGTTTGAAATTATGTAAGCTGTCCTATAATGAATGTTATGAATATTTAATTGGTAGGTTATGAATAACACATGACTTCATTCAATAAGCAGACACAGAGCCGGCAAATTAGGTGACCAACTTTAATTTTCGGTTGACATTCTCTCTAAATACAAAAGATCGCGCTGATTTTGTGAAATGAACGAGCTACCTTCGTAACAGAATAAAAGCAACACTCTTAAAAGGGGTGGCACTTTATCGAATAGTGACACAGAAAGAGAGAGAGAGAGAGAGAGAGAGAGAGAGGGGGGAAGGAAAAAGGATGATGTGACCCATTTCTGTGTCCAGTGTCGTTCACAATATGCGGTTATTAGCGACGTTTAACAGCTTGGATGATTTCAATTCTCAAAACAAGTCTGGCTCTAAAATGTTACATTCCTTATCTTCACGTGCCTCATGACAATTTAGTTGTTTTGCTGCTGCCTCGAAATGCACAATTATTTTCTTATACTCAAAATTAAAAAAAAATTAAATATATATATATATATATATATATGTGTGTATAAGGTTATAATGCGTATCCATCCCAGTGGATGCTGAAGGCGCCTATTAAAGATAAACTTTAGTACTGGTAATGCGATTGCATTGTGAAAGAAAAGGTGTGGAAAGGATCAGAAACAGTTGATCATGTAGCATGTAAGTATTGGTGTGCACTGCAAGGTTCTGGAGTCATCAAAATCATAATAAATTTGACCGAGTCTTGGTAAAGTAACAAGCATTGTACACAGAAAGCTATATATGGGACAACACACATGGTGTCGGGGCTAGTACTACCTTGATTTCCTTGTCTTTCTATGATCATTACTCAGCCAGTATACATTTTCTTCCAAAATTGTTTGGCACATGTCATTTATTTGTAATCTTGAACATTCAGTGTGAGTTTCATTTGATTCTGTGAGAATTATTATTTTTTTTTTTTTACCAGAACTGGAGTTTATCTTTAAAGTACTATTATTACCCTGGCTTTATCCGCAAACCATCTGATCCACCGTCCAGTACAGTGGCATGTCTTTCAGTCCACGGCATTTATCATTAAACCTTATTCCTTCTTTCATAGCGAGTTCGCATATCCACAACTCCGCTTTACATTAAAAAATATTTATGTAGTAACCATAATAACTCACCGTAATGGAGGATAAGGAACGCGATGGCCAACTTTAAATGCTAAAAACGGAATATATATGGTTGAAAAAAGAGACAAAGTTTTATTATAATACGAGTATGAAGTGAGTTTGTCTGCATGCTAACAGATTCACAGTTGTTGTAAGTCCATTTTACAACGAAAAATGAGCGATATTCGTGGAGAATTTGGAAGATCGTGGCCAAGAAATTTCAGGCTTTATTTCCTTTTGAACAATTTGAGAACTAATGAAAAGAGTGTGTAAATTCGTTGAAAATCATGGGAAGATTAGAGGCCCAAACTTCAAACCTGTTATGTTGCGTACCAGCAAAAACATCCATAACGACACCCCTTTTTGATTAATAATGACAATTATCTGGATTTATATAGCGCTTAATACGAAATACTCTCTATAAGCGCTTTACATATATTATTATACCGTTCATGGGATTCATTCACTCTCAATGTGCGCCATTTTAATTCCATGGGGAGTATTCCTACCATATGGTTACCGTGAGATCAGATAGCCACTACTACCACAAAGCATTTTTTTACCAGGTCCCCATTTCTCTCCTGGGTATAGAGTGGCAACTGGAGATGAATGCCATGTCAAAGGACACTGGTGCCGTGTTGCAGATCGAACCCAGGACCTTTGTATTTCAAGTCCAGTGCTTAAACCACTTGACCACGACACCTTCTAACATGGTTAAACAGGATAAATAGTGATGAAATAGTGACGTGCAAGTAAACACCATCTTCTAAGATCAACCCACAGGACATTCAAATCATGTAATGACAGGCAGGACGGCCTCCTCGTCTAACTAGTGTTCAACACTAGTTAGAGCAGTAACCGCGGTGGCTAGTAGCTGATTACCGGGGTAGAATGACCATTGACCGATTCGAGAAACCGGCTCCTTGACACTAAAAAATAAGTAAATACATATGTGTACGTACCATGATCGGGAATATTCCAGCAACTCAAATCCGTGATAAGATTTAAATTTTAAAACATGTCCGGAAATTATGCAGATGCACCTCTATGCCCAAGGGTCTATGTATATATCCTTCTGCGCTGCGTCGGAAAATGCTTTTAAGAATACACTCTCTCCAACTTCAGCCTTTGCTACGCTCACTTTTTTGTGATAGCTTTGTT